GGGAGCATGGTTAAGCAGTGAGAGGTAGGGCCATCCCGAGGCTTTCCTCCATCCATGCCTGACTGTGGAGGGGCCAGTTCTGCAGGCCCAGTGCAGGTATCCACAGCTGCTGTGAGTACGTGACTGCAATGGCTGTGTTTTGCCCAGAAGATAATCTTGAAGGTCTTTCCCCTGTCTTCTGCCACAGTATTCTCTGAACCATAGAAAGGATGTTTTAAAGTGTCTGTTTGGGACTGGGCACTTTATCTGTGTTTATTCTTGTCATCTTGGAAAGCCATGGGTCTCTGCATTCACCTCTCTTCACTGGAAAGAATGGCCTCTCCCATTAAAGCTTGGAGAAACATTTGTCTATGGGTAGAATCATACATGTTGATTTAGTCAAACAACAGTATTCAGCTCCCAGTTTCCAGCCCACATGACTCAGTACCTACATTCTATTAAAGTCTTACACACAGGGAACTCCATTCATAAGAAAGATGAGAGTGCTCACCGATGTCCCATCATTGCTTAAAATGTGTTCCTGATATCTCACTGTTTCCCCTCCACATCCTCATCCTTGAGTATGGCAGCCATTTGGGGGTACTATCACATGCCTTCACTGTGTCTATTTAGGGGAGTGCAATACAACATAGGAGGGTAAGAAATTCTGGAGAGAATATGTTTACCAAGTCTAGAGAGGATTGCTAGCAGGAAGATTTGGAATGGGGGAGGAGAGAGGTAGAAATGATGTAAACACAGTACTTACATATGAAATTCTCAAAAGAATTAAAATTAAAAAGAGAGGGTGCTGTAGATATAGACAATCATATACAAGATAACATTATAGCCAATCATACACAAAATAAGTCCTCATTCTCTTGGAATTAGAGTAACTTCCTTGTTCACGGTGCTTTGTGAAAAGTTGACTCACAACAACACTGTGGAAAATGCCAGTTCCCCCATGTTTATACAGGCAGGCTTCAATCTTAAGCACTTCCCACCTTTAGGTCTTGGATCTGATTTTTTAAATTAGTTCTTCTTAGCTACAAACCAGAGTGAAGGGCCTCTAATTGGTCATATTCGCTATCTTTAATGAGTTAGCCTACAATTAGAGCTTCACTGAGCTGTTAGCTCCCATTCTTCATCCCAGAGATGAAAGAGTAGCTTCCGTGTAGAATTCAGGCAAGTAGGTTCTTGGGGAAGAACCTCAAAGGTGTTCTCTATCAACTGTGCTCCAGGTCACCCAGCTTGGAGTGGAGTATATACTCTCCTCCACATTCCAGCAACAGCCTCTGATGACTCCCCCTTTCAACATAGGGCTGATATGAGGCAGCGGACACAGAAACAATTGGGAGATGCCCAGACCAGAGTAAAATAGTGGTGTCATTGGCAGTTATGAGGTTATAATTTAAGAAGAGAAATTGCAGAAGAAATAGTTTTGAACTGGGTCATGGAAGAGATGCCAGTTATAGCAGCTTGAGAAACCTAAACCTAAACTGAACAAAACCATTAAGCTGGGTAGGGATGTGGGTGTTCTTGTAGATTGGTGAAGTGAGTTGGCACTGAGGCTACTGGAGTGGCCAGTGACTGAAGGGTTGGAAAGAAACCATGGGAGCAAAGACATGGAGGGTGTCGCTGACAGAGAATGTCAGTGGATAATAAAACATTTTGCTGAAAGCAGCAAGAAATAAGATCCTATAAAAGAGACTACGTTCTCCATCCAAATCTGGAAATTAATGGAATCAGTTCTTTACCATTTAATCTTGAGAGCTAACTTTATTATTTCACACTCATGTTAAACATCTACCCATTCATAGAATATGTTTGTGTTCTGAATACTGTACTCAAGTCAATCAACTACATGTTGGGTGAGCCGAGGGTTTCACAGTTGTGATCACTGCGGAGCATGTCTTGCTTGTCCAGTACATTTATTTTAAGAGTCAAGTAGTTGGAATAGTTTTTTGAAGTGAGCCCCACTCCAGCAGTGTAGAAAAATGGTACATTTTTGTGGATGGTTTAAGGCGCCCAGCATGGCCACCTTGGCAATTAGGAAGGAGTTGGTGGTCTGAAAACCTCATAAACTTTACATTTATGCTCAGTAGATATTTTCCCTAAAGGAAAAAAAAGTATTGGAAAAGATTTAAAAATGGGGTGGGATTCCTCGCATCCCTGGTGATCTGGACGTATTATCTACTTAAAAGGCATTCATTGTTGTTGTTGTTTGAAGTGTTGAGGGTAGAGCCAGGGAAACATACCAGCAATCAATATCTCAAATACACCAGCCATGGCTGTCTCCTGCTTTGTTGATGCCTTCTCCAAAACAGTGCACTGTGCACTCAAGGAGCACCCTCGTTGACTTCATGACCTTCATCTGCAACTTAGCACTTCCCATGTCTCCAACTATTGTCATCCTTATCAGTAAAGTGACGCGCTCTCCAATTATTGTCACCCTTATAAGTAACGTGATGTGGAAGAACAATACAAGAAAAGGGACGGTCTGTATATAACATGAAATACATCAGAAGTTTCATTTGTTTTCTTCATGACTGTCTATAAGACTTATCTACGTATTTTTGAGGTTTGATAATGTTATTTGTGTCTTTATATAGACATTGCCTATTCCAATAGCACAACCTGTGCTTGTCTGTAATTTAAAAATAAATAAATTCACAGTGATACCTTTAAGTTAGTGTCCAATTTTTACTGCTGCTGTACTTACTAGGTAATATTGTGGATCTGGGATCTGATCAGGTAATAAACTTCCTTGCTCTTAACATCAGTCCTTAGATGATAGGTGATACTTCTCTTGTCATTTGCCTTCTTACTGGTATGTTCTTTTTGTACTTAGGTATTTTTATTATTATAGCTTTAGAAAATAAAAATTTTCTTTATGATAAGACAAGATCTCTATATGAAATTTGCTGACAGGTGGTTTCTATAATACATACCTAAACAATAGTAAAAGGCTGTTGAATCCTTATAGTTCATGAGAGCCCAGAATATAAAACTTCATGTGACCAAAATTCTGCCATGCTGAGTAGAGTTTATTAACACTGACGCTTAGCATCACTTTATGCCTCTGATAAGATCTTGCTATAGTATTCTGGCCAGCCTGGTACTCATTCTTGTGGGACTTTGAATGTGGCGTTTCCTCCTGTTTGCTAATATGTCTGCAGAGAAATCTGTTGTTATCTCACAATGATTCCCTAATGTGTAGCTTGGCACTTTTTTCTTGCTGTTTTAGAATTCTGTCTTCCTCATGGGTAGTTTGACTACACTATGTCCTTCTGTGGTCTTTTGAGCCTCCTGGACCTGAATGTCCATAGTATTCTTAAGATTTCAATTATTTATGCCTATTATCTCATCAATTAGATTTTTACACTCCCCAACACTCATTTGAATATTAGTTCATTTAGTGGCATCTCCTAGGGCTCAGTAGTTTCCTTTCCTCTCTTTCCTTTTGTGTCTGAATGTGTTATCTCAGAAGAATTCTCTCCAGGTTGGGAGTTTGTTCTCCCTGCCTGGTTGCTGAGGCTCCTATCTGTGTCTGTTGCTGTTTTACTTACTCGTTTCTTTACCTTCAGGGTTTCGTTTTGGTGCTGTTTTTTCCTAACCTTCATCACTTGGCTAAATTTGTCATTCTAATAGGAGCTTCTCTTCTAATTTCATTGAATTGTCTGTCTGTATTCTATTGTATCTCATTTGTCTTCCATGGAGTCATTCTTTTGAATGAAAAAAAGGTTCATTTTGTTCATTTCACTTGCTATTGGGTTCCTCCAAAGACATCATGTAGTCTTGATTTTTTTCATAATTTTATGTATCTATATTTATTGTACATCTGGTAGATCCATTAGCTCTAATAGTTTTGGAGGGTAGCTGCTGTAGTAAAAGATTTTCTTCCAAAGATGAGGGGTGTTTGATTGGCTATGACATTGACTTGGGTCCCATTTGAATATAGCATAGTCTCATGATTTCATCAGAAATAAATAATGGTTTAAGACATAGTTCATGTGGCACTAATGATATAGACTGTCCATTTTTATCACTATCTGACAATGGGAAAATTTAAGTGGGCCAGATAAATATAGCCCGTGTGTGTGTGTGTGTGTGTGTGTGTGTGTGTGTCTGTCTGTCTGTCTGTCTGTCTGTCTATAGACACATAAATACACACATGAGATTGTGTGCATGTGTTTTCCTCTGGATTATCACACTATATAGTTGAAATTTCCATAATTGGTGTCTTATCACCGATCCTGTAATATCAAACCTTACAAAGTAGTAAGGAAACGTATTTTTTAGTATCTATCAATTTTGTGCTACTTAGATTAGCATAGAAGGACCTGGCCTGGAAGGAAGAAATTGCTGTCCCAGAATGGTATACTGAGCTTGGGAAACAAATTCTGGAGCCTCTTACATGTTTCATTGCTTGCCTCCACTAGTAGAGGCTTAGGAATTTCAGAGAAGCTAAAATTATTTTATCGGTCCTGGAGAGATGGCTTGGCTCAAAGGGTAAAGTACTGAATGTGTATGCCAATGACCTGAGTTTGTGTCCTCAGAACCCACATAAGATCCAGAGACAATAGTGTACATGTGTCTGTAATCCAAGCACACTCCTGTGAGGAACTGATAGAGACAGAATTCCAGCCAGCTATCCTGGGAGAGATACCCTGTCTCAAACATGATAGAGAGTGAGGACCAAAATCCAAGGTTTTCCTGTGACATGCATCTATATTCCTGTTCTCGTTCTCTCTCTCTCTCTCTCTCTCTCTCTCTCTCTCTCTCTCTCTCTCTCTCTCTCTCTCTCTCTATCTCTTTCTCTGTCTCATACATACACGAACTCTCTCACACACACACATTTTATTAACACAAGCATTCAGTAGTCAATAAGTTAATTGTTAGCTATGATAATATGCTCCCCAATTCAAAGTCCTTCACATATATAGCTGCAGCACAAAGCTTGACATGACAAGTACATTATCCAAGTATATCCTACTTCTCTAACATGGTTTTGTCTTCTGCAGGACATTGATGGCCAGGCACTTCTACTGCTGACTCTACCAACAGTGCAGGAGTGTATGGAGCTGAAACTGGGACCTGCTATCAAGTTATGCCACCAGATCGAGAGAGTGAAAGTGGCCTTCTATGCCCAGTATGCTAACTAACTCGGCTGGCTTTCTTGAGGTGGTGCCTCATTCTCATGAGGCTGTCTGTGTTTGTGAAGGTTTCCAGGACTGAGACCTTGATTTTCTGGGCTTTATGAAATGGTACATTCATTGAGGATTTCCAAAACCCAGAAGCCCAGGACCTCCTTCATGCACCAGCCTGTCTGATGGTTCTGTTTCCGAAGCACGCAGAAGGACCACAGCAGCAGTTTCTGGGACTGTAGTGAAAGTTCTGAGACAGAACCGCCCTGACACTGGACTTACTTCTTCATCTCTGAGTTTCATTTTTCTCCCGCCCAAAGTAGACAGCTTCCTGTAAGCCAGGTTTCCTTACACTGAGGTTCAGGTTCTTGGAAAACCAAGATGGACCGAGTGCCTCCAAACAGAATCCCTGACTTGCTGGCAGCTTTAGCTGACTCACTCTCACGCTCTTCTACAGCTGTATCTGCCCCACACATGCAAACTACTGTGGTTTAGAGCCCCCTGCTCTCTCACTCGATGTCATTGACAACTCCTTTCCCCAATACAGCTGTAGGCTCTGTTTCAGGACGCTTGTATGAAATGATGCGCTAAGCTCTTCCTCTGTCAGAGGTGTCTTTTCACAAGTATGGCTGCTCACAGTAGACAGTACTGTGTAAGCAGAGCCCAGAACACTAGCAGTGGCAAGCGCTCTCCATAGTCTCCTGTGGAACCGTAGCTTCAGGGTTCTAAGAGCACTGTGACCAGTCAGGAGGAGACTAGTGTCGGGAAATACCAAACTGAAGGAAGAGCTTTCAGAGGGCAAGCGTGGGAAGAGATTTGAGGAAGTGTTTTGTGAACTAGATGTATCCACTTAGAAATGCTAACACAGCTGGTCACGGTAAAGGACCCCTTCTGCACCCCTCTTCTGGCTCGCCACACGTGAAGCAAGCATGAGAAATCAATAATGCCTAGCATAATATAGCAGAGCTAATGCTGGATCTGGACTCCATTAGTTTCCATCCTGACTTCGCTAATGGTCAGTGTCATGTCCTTGGGTAACTCCCCACCATTGTGGACCCAAGCTCCCGTTGAAGGAAAAGTTAGGACACTTAGTGGTGAGGCATTGAGTATATGTCTCCCCCAGTCTTTTCCTTGTTCTTGTTAGAGGAGTCAGGTGGGCCAAATGAGACGAAGAATGGGGCCACAGGACTTAACCCTCAATTCCAGCATTTCAATCTCTTCTAGGTTGCTTATGAAATTTCCCTAAGCCACTTATATAATAATCAGTGCTTATAAAATATGGCAGATCCTTTCTACCAAGCACTTCATTTGTGTTTCCTCATGAGTCGTTCAACAAACGCTTATAAACCCAAAAGAACTGAGGTACATAATGACATAGAGGCCACCTCCCTGTCCTTTTAAAACCATGCAAGGAAAGCAAACTTGGACTCTGTTGAGGAGTGCATGTTCATTTGGGAAGCTTAACTTCATTCCTATATGGTTTTATGTTGATCTTTTCTCTTTGACTGGAGTCTCAACTATCCCAGAACATGATATGACAGGCTGATTGCTGCTTGTGTTTTGGTAACATTTTTTTTATTTTATTTTCCAGTTTAAATTTAGATAAGAAACAAGGTTGCTTCACAAGTCAGTTCCAGGTCCCTCTCCCTTTCCCTCCCCTCCTCCCGTGCCCTCCCCCCAACCTCCCCCCATTATCCCCTCATTCCCCCAGGGAGGGTGAGGCCCTCCATGGGGGTGTCCATAGTCTGTCATTTCATATAGGGCAGGGCCTAGACCCTTCCCCAAGAGTTCAGGGTGAGAATGCACCTCACATTGTTCTATGGGAGTCCAAAGTCCGTGTGTATACTTGGGATGGGTACTGATCTGCTGCCCAAGGCTCAATAGATTACCTAGGCCTCCTCACTGACACCCACATTCAGTCTTAATCTCTTTGATCATCAGTCCTCCCTCTCTGTTACTGGCTTTCTTGAGTTCAGCTCATTACTTAACCAAGGGAGTCTGCCTCTTCTTCGATCAGCCACTAAATGAAGTTTCTGTTTCCCAGACTCTCTGGCCATAGGATTGTAGGCTGGCACTCCCCAGATCTATGTCTAAAATCCATATATGAGAGAGTACATGCCATGTTTCTCTTTTTGTGACTGGGTTACCTCACTCAGGATGGTTTCTTCTAGTGTCATCCATTTGCCTGCGAATCTCATGATTCCATTATTTTTTTCTGCTGAATAGTACTCCATTGTGTAGATGTACCACATTTTCTCTATCCATTCTTCGGGTGAGGGACATCTAGGTTGCTTCCAAGTTCTGGCTATTACAAATAAAGCTGCTATGAACATAGTGGAACAGACATTTTTGTTGTATGAATGGGCATCTTTTGGATATATGCCTGAGAGTGGAGTTGCTGGGTCTTGTGGTAGGTTTATTCCCATTTTTCTGAGGAATCTCCATACTGATTTCCAAAGTGGCTGAACCAGTTGGCACTCCCACCAGCAATGGAGGAGTGTCCGCCTTTCACCACATCCTCTCCAGCATAAAATGTCATTGGTGTTTTTGATTTTAGCCATTCTGACAGGAGTGAGATGGTATCTCAGAGTTGTTTTGATTTGCATTTCCCGGATGGCTAAGGATGTTGAGCACTTTCTCAAGTGCCTCTCAGCCATTTTAGACTCCTCTATTGAAAACTCTCTATTTAGTTCTGCAGCCCACTTTTTAATAGGGTCCTTTGGTGTTTTGGAGACTTGCTTCTTGAGTTCTTTGTAAATTTTGGAGATCAACCCTCTGTCAGATGTGGGATTAGTGAATATTTTTTCCCATTCTGTGGGCTGCCTTTTTGTCTTGCTGACTGTGTCCTTTGCCTTACAGAAGCTTCTCAGTTTCAGTAAGTCCCATTTATTAATTGTTGATCTCACTGTGTGTGCTACTGGTGTTATGTTCAGGAAGCTGTCTCCTGTACCAATTCGTTCAAGGGTACCACCCACTTCTCTTCTAAGAGGTTCAGTGTGGCTGGATTTATGTTGAGGTCTTTGATCCATTTGGACTTAAGTTTTGTGCATGGCGATAAACATGGATCGATCCGCATTCTTCTACATGCCAGTCTCCAGTTATGCCAGCACCATTTGTTGAAGATGCTTTCTTTATTCCATTGTATATTTTTAGCTTCTTTGTCAAAGATCAGATGTTCGTACGGCAACATTTTAAGGTGTGGTAATCTGCTAGGCTTCCAGAACTGTGATTGCTTTTGCTAACCATTCTCAAGATTGTGCAATGGTTTCTGATCAACCAGAAAACAAATTATTTGCTCTTAAGATTTTTCCAAAAGCTGATTTTCTAGTGTCAAGCTACAGAACTTTGGTAAATGGACATGCCTAGGCACAACTGAGGGTTGGATTGGGTCCTTTGTGGTGCTGTAAGAACGGAACTGTCCCACGCTGGTGCCTGCATGATTGGCTTGCCATTGAATTTCTCTCTTCTAAGCTACATGTTGAACCTTCCTAAGTTGGCCTGCCTCCTCAGCCATATGCTTTTGGCCATAAATGCTCAATCTATCTGTTGGAAAGGGTATCTATTTCAAGGTGGTGTGGCATCTCTCCCATGCTGACTCCTTCTTGGTCCTTCACTTTGGGCTTCTCAAGATGAGCTGTTTCTTTTGCATCTGAAACCAGGATGGGGCTGTGGCATTGCTAGAACATGATATCCTTTGAGAACAAATGTCACTTTCTCATGCCTTTTCCAGTAATGACACCGAGGAGCAGGTTTGCTTTAGAACATGGAGATTTTTCTAGAAGTTTGCTGAGCCCACAGAAAGAGCCAGGAGAACATTACAGAAAACTCAGTCAGGACATGGCCTCCATTGGTCAGAAATCCTTTATCCTATGGAACCAGATATTCCAGCCTGTTCTCATCCTTCGGCCGTGTGGTTTAACCTCAGTGTCTCTCTGCACAGTATCATTCCCTTCAACCTCACTCTTAGTCTTCAGCTTCAGCAAGGAAGAGGTGACAGTAATTATAGCAGAAGAGTGTCCAGCCAGGAGCCACCCTCGTCATAGCCCAGCCCTCCAGTAGACTTGGGAAGTATTTGAGGACCAAAGGGGATGCTTTTTCTGAGTTCTTCAGAGCTTTGGTCCGGGATGGCATGCTCATATTGAGCACAACAATTTTGTCACCACATTGTAAAAGGGGCTTTGTTTCTCTCTAGACTCACATCTCCCCTGCTTCTGTCTTCAGCATGGGCCGAATTCCCAAGGAATGGTTTTCTCTATATCCCCGTACTTTGGCAGAAAAAGAAATGGATCTTATATACATTCTCCCCATACCACCCCAGCCTGTACACCAAAATATTCTCTAAATACTGTCAAATGTTGCACTCACCCTATTCCTTCCTGGATAGTATCATTTCATTGTCTCTCTGATTATCTTCTGGGACCAGAGTCCTCTCCTTCATGTGCCCACATCTTGGGTGCATCACACCATTTATTGCCTCCTGTAACCAGCCAAGCAGATATCCTACAGTCCGTGCCATGCAGTGGAGGAAGGGAAACATCACCTTAACTTAAATAATGACAGTCCATCATTTATTCCCACTCTAAAGTTTAGGGAGTTTGTTATAGCCCTTAACTTCCTGACTGCATTTGTACTGTGTTGTAAAAAATTACCCTGTCCACAAAGTAACATACCCTGATCAAAGCCGAGTATGCTGGCATTGCATATCTTTGCTCTTCACCGTGGTGCCCTTCACCACAACATCTAACCTAGAGCTCACACAACAGGTCTGTCACTTTTAAAATCAGATGCCTTTCATCAGAGTTCAACTCACAGACAGCATTTGAGCTCTATAACTACTTAAGTCCATAGACCTTATTTGATCATATACAAAAAATAATTTACTGTGTTTGCTTTGATTTGGTCCTCAATAAATTAGGATGATCCACACCTTAACACTGCCACATCCGACCTTTCCTGCCATCTTTACACGATTGCTTTTGATCAGCCTTTTGAAGACAGGTCCCTCCTAATCTGTCTCAGAATTTTGAGTGTTCTACGAGACAAATACTGGGTTTGCCATCTATGTTACACCAAACACCCCTTCCTGAGAGTTGTTCCTTAGTTTTGGAAGCACTCGGGGTTTCCATGATTATTTTGTATAACACCCATTTATATTTATTTCTGTATATAGAAATAGAACAGAACAGTAGTAGGATCTTTGTTGTGATTTGACATTGCTGCTTTCGGGTTAGGATAGTGAATCTAGGTTCCAATTCCTCTCTATTCTGTCTTTGGAGAGCTGTGATTGAGTGTGCAATTATTTGGAAGGAGAAAATGTAAATTAATGTTTCTGTAGTGTTTATGGAAGAAGTCTCTGGGGACAGCTACTGCTTGTGTCTCTTTGGTGCAATAATTAACTAGCAAGGGAAGCTGAAATGGCGACCATACAGTCTAGTCTTACTTGCTCACAATTCCTTTCTGTTCACAAATTTTCTAAAAATTACTCTCTTTAACTAGGTTAATTTTTTAAGTTGCTTAATTCTCATAGATTTTTAAACTAGGGTGGTTTAGAGGAATCCAAAATAATAATATTACAAAATGAAATTGTGGTATTTGTGACCCATTTAATTTACTGAAAAAAATCATAATTGCTGTCCTGCCTGGTCTCCTTGGGTTTTAGTTTTTAAAAGCCTTTGTGGTTTAAATGATAAATAATGATTCCCTTTTCTGAGATGTAGACTTCCTTGTTCCATTTTCTTTTGATGGCTAGGGCTCAGCACCAGTGAGGGTACGGGTCATGTCATAAAACCAAGGCAGGACATCGCTTTGGGAAGCAAAAAGAGGAACACTGAAGAAGAAAAAGTCTAGAACAATCTTTTGCTAAAAATTATTTTATGATGAAAACTGATGGGAAGGGTTTTTTAAATAATAGAAAAGGTAAACATCATGCCTGTCATTCAGAATGCAAGCTAACATGATCTGTGTAAGCAGTCACTAATGGTGGGAGCCCTTTATCTTTCACGTTCCCCTTTGAAAAGTTTGTATTGAAATTTGGTTCATATCTTGTGTATGTTTTGGTGCATAAAAGAGAAAAGAATCAGTGTCTTTACTTTTGAAATTTAAAGGACAAAGGGCATGCTCTCTCAGTTTGTTGTAAGATTGTATTCTGTATATATGTTTCCATGTACATAAATGAAAATATATATCAGAGTTATATTTTAATTTTTATTCTAAATGAAAAACCCTTTTTACTTGAAAACATGGTAAGCCACATTGTTAATAAAGTAAAAATAAATTCTATGGTGGTGTTTGTGTTTGTGTGTCAAAGATTATTGAATATAATATTTGGGGCTTGTATTAGGATCATTTTTAAATTTCATTATAGCATCTACTATTTAGTTGGTTAGAATCATATATCTCAAAGTCACCTCATTGTTATATTTTACTCAAGCAACTAGAAGAAGAAATGATTTGGGAAATCTAGCTAGGAATGCAAGCAGGATGTTGAAGAAGAAATCAGTATCACTTCTTCATTCATAGGCTCACGCTTAGCTAGCTACCTTATACATCCCAGGACCACCTCCCTAGATCCAGGATTCACATGTCTCCACCTCCAACTGGGATGGCAGCACCATGGGACTCGGGAATGACACAGTTGGTAAAGTGCTTGTCTTGTGATCATAAT